ATTGAGGAAGCTTCTCTGAGCGTGGGAGATTTCCTCCCCGTTCCCGGGGCTATGATGCATGGCGGTGTCTGCGTGTCAGTAATGTGGGCTGGCTTTCTCTAAAATCGGTTCCCCGGGGCCTTTTGAAAGCTCCCACCCCAATTACTCTGGTTCCCAGCACAGTCTGTGACATTGCAACTTGCCAAAGGGCCCTGTGTCTGGCTGTTAGTTTTCTCATTCCTGGTGGCCCTCCTGGGAGATGCTGTTAATGGCTGCATTTTAGGAGGAGGAAGGCAGGCTGAGGTGCAGGGTCCTCCGGGGTGGGAAATGCAAGTTAGAGGCGGCTTTGAGGTTGCAGAAAAGCCCCCAGAAAATAGGTGGTGGCACAGGGGACTTTGTTGTGTGACAGGAGCCATCGACATCCTGGGATTCCCATACCCCTGTGCCCCTGGTCCCTGCGGGAGGTCCTACACTGCTCCTGTCCCTGCCTTCCCAGTTGACAGCAGGAGGAGGGGGCGTGAGGCTAGAGCTCAAGTGGGGGAACTGTGAGTCATTCATCTGTGTCTGCGTGTGCCTGGAGCTCTGTGTTGAAACAAAGATTACGCCCCAGTTTGGGGTCCATGAGAAAGACGACTGGGAACAGTTAGTGGATCTGCTCTGGCTTGGGGAGTGGTGGCTCATGGGCCAGGCATCTGCCCTGCGTCATCTTGAGTGGGGTGTCAGCGTGACAGTCCCCAATGTGTCCACACGTCACTGCATGTGCCCTGGTTGCTGGGGTGGGTGGACAGTTGAAAACCGCTGTATAGAGTCCAGAGTCTGCCCTCCCTCTGAGAAGGTGCCATTTCCGGTCTCTCCTCTTTGGGGACCACTGGACAGAGAACAGCTGCTAATGCACATCCTTAAGTGGAGGTATGACTGCCTCACTTGCTTCTTGCTCCCCTAGGAACAGGCAGGCAATCCTCAGGCCCGAAGGCGAGAGCAGGCAGAGCCGCTACTCCTGAGCCATCATCCCTGAGCTCCTGGCTGTGCCAGCCCCATGGGGGCCGGGCCCAGTGCTGAGTGGAGCCAGCAGACCTGGCGCCCTCTCCGTGGCGCCCAGTGAGAGGGGGCAGCATGCTCAGCCAGCAACTGGTCAGGTGCCTGGTAGAGCTGTAGGTCTCTGGTTTGGGCCAGAATCCAGCAGAGACAGGCTGAGCAAACCCAGGAGCTCTGCAGCAGTTCACTCTCAGATCATTCCCCCTCCGTCCCTGGTCCTCAGTGCGGTACACTGTGCCCGTGCGAGGTGATAGGGCAAAGGCCAGCTCGGGAACTTGTAGCAGGTTGATTGAGTTCCAAACTAGCTGAATCCTTGACTGAGCTTTGCCAGCCCTCCCCCCACCCACCCCACCCCACCCCATGCCGGGAGAGGAGGGGGAGGTCTGCTGGCCAAGCTCAAGGTTGTAGGGACTGGAAGTGCTGGACATCTGCTTTCCTCCAAGGGTTTCGGGAGTGAGGCTGTGGACAACTGAGGGAGGTCCTGGCAGGTTAACCCCAGCCATGCCTGTCCTAGGAATGGAAGCATCATAGGCTGGTTGAGAGGGGCCTGGCTGAGGCCTCAGGTACAGCCCAGTGAGATGTTCCATCTGCGTTGGTTGGAGCAGCTAGTAGTATTTATTTACCTAGGGTTTTAAAGGCTGCAAAATGGAGCTGTAAGTCCTGGGAAATACCATTGCACAGCAGGAAGCCTAGTCCCCAGCATGACTGGCTCAGGGAGATGTCTGCATTTACCTGTCAGAACTGAGCTGATAACCCCTTGATGAAAACATTGAAGCCACCCAGACTTTGTGGCTGAAAACATTCATTTCATACCTGAATCCCCAGGGTGTATTTCAAGCCTTGAATTTTATCTTTAGCAAGTGTGGAAGCCCCGCCCGGGCAGCTGTGGTACACACATTCGTGTATGTGCCCACGCACGCTTGCACTCGAGCACACACACACACGCACGCAGTGATTCTAATTCAGGATCATCTTTGAGGTGGGGGCCACCTTTCACAATTGCACCAAAACCTGTATTCAGCATATGGGAAGAGAAATATCTAATTTGAAAGGAGGTATAAAAGTCTATCCTAATAGGAAAATGGGGCAGATTACTGGGGAAATTTTAAATTCAAGGCAAGCTTGCATACTTCAGGGACTGTCCTCGTGATCCCAGACCAACTGCATGCCAGCAGGTTCCCACACCCCTGGGCAGGAGGCCTGACCCCTAGTTTCCCTGACTAGAGGACAGATGCTCATCCTCCCTCCCCACAGAGGTATGTGGGTAAGGCCCTGGGACAGGCAGGACTCTGCAGGTGCAAAGGAACGCACATTCCACAGGGAGAGCACCAGAGGGAGCACAAGGGAGCTCTCCTGAGGTGCTCTTGAAGGGTGCCCTGTCTTGAGCTGGCTCCAAGCACTGCATCACTCACCTGGTCTGCTGATCACCTGGGGCCAAACAGTCCTGGGACCAGGCCACCAAGATAAATCATGTGCAAGCAGTTCAAGGATGAGGTGCCAACTACCCTGGAGCGTGTTCTGGTCACAAGACCATGGCTTCATAGGCAGGGTGACAGGAGTTTGTGGATCCCAGGCTCATTAAAGTCCTGAGCATACCTGTAGGGCTGGGACAAATAAGCTCTGGGACAGAATTCAGTGTCCAGGATAAGATGGACCCTTAGACAGCACCCCCTTCCAGCATCCCCCCCACCCCCCACGCAGTGTCTTCCATGGGAAATCAGTGCTGCTTTGAAGTGCAGCTTTCAATTAGATAAATGACAGGTTGTAAGGAACCTCCCTTTCACAGGTCCCTTTGCAAACCTCACATGCTGTCACCCCGTCCTGTTTCAGGGCTGTCACCCTTATGGAAGGCATAGGCTCCCTTGGAAGCCTTGAGCCCCCACGGGCTCCCCTCACCCCTTTGCCCCACCAGGAACCTGCTGACCCACTGGGCAGTGGTGACGTTGACTCACGTAGCGCCCCTGGGGCCTTGGGCCAGTGGGACCCGGGCAGCCAGTGCTTCTCAGCAGGGTGGGGACACAGACACACAGACCCTCACATGTGAAGCCACGGGACTTGATGAGAAACAGTTCCCAAACTAGCCGTCTGCTCCTGACCAAGAGTTCAACTTGCTCCCTCCGCATCAGTGGTCAGGAGGCAACCTGGAGCCTCCAATTCCATTGGCGCCTTTGCTGTTGTTGGAAGGTGCATGCCTGTGACAGGGGAGACAGACACTAAAAACCCATGGGCCAGTGGACCCTCATCAGTGGAGTGGAGAGCCAGCCACCTGACTCCTGGCAAGAGTCTGCCGGCACTGGCTGATGGGCTTGGCCCCTCCTCACAGAGTGAGTCTTTCCAGGCCTAAGTGCTCCTGGACCATTTTACAGATGATATAACTGGGACTCAGAAAGGACCAGAAACTTTCCGAGTAGCCAGGGACCTTTCTGAGGCACCCACGTTTCACAGTGCCTACTGTACTGGGCTGAATGGTGATCCCCAAAACACATGTCCACTGGAACCTGTGAATGTGTCTTGATTTGGAAAACACTCAGCTGTACTCAAAGTAAAGATTGAGGTGAGACTATCCTAGATTAGGGTGAGCTCTAAACCCAACAAGTCTCCTCATAAGAGATGGGGGAGGATGCACAAGAGGCCGTGTGAGGAGAAAGGTGGAGTCTAAAGTGATGTAGCCACAAGCCAAGGATGCCTGGAGCCCCTGGGAGCTGGCAGAGGCAGGGAGGACCCCCCCGCCCCCCCCGAGCCTCCGAGGTAGCGTGGCCCTGGGACACACCTGGATTTTGGACTTCTGGTCTCCAGAACTGGAAGAGAAGCCTCTGTTTGAGCCCCAGGGTCTTTGGTCATCTGCCAGGGCAGCCCTGAGAAGCTCACATGAGCCATGGGGCAGATTACATGGGTTTGTGTGTCCATATGCCCCAAAACAGTGAGACTACAGTGCCATGGAATGGGGGTCCTGTCCATTACAGGTAGAAATGATCAGAGAAGTGGACTGAGCTGTCCAGACCCCACCTCCATATGGAGCCTCCGAATCCATTGGCGCCTTTGCGCAGTGCTTTGTTGATCTGGATTGAGGCCAGGGCTGAAATCTGCTCCCAGGCCCTCCCCCCCCCCCCCCCCCACACACACACCTGTCTAGAAGGTGCTCACATTTCACTGTCCGGGGAAGCGAGTAGCCTGGCATCTTGGCACCATTGGTCCACACTGTCCTCTTGTTCAGCTCAGTCCCTGCCATGTTCCAGGCTTTAAGTCTTTTTCGGGTCTTTTGTGTTCAGGCCGCCATGAGGAGGTGGCATTCAAGAGCTCCATCGCACACACGAGAAGCCTGGTTTGTGTTTAGCAGCTCTTGTTCTCTGGGCACTAAGGGCTGGAGTGAAGCTCAAACCCAAGTCCCCTTGACCTGCAGCTCACATCACTGGGTCTGCAGGGACCATGCTCCGAGGTGAACAGGACTGGTCCCTCCTCCTGACGTGTCCCTGCATCTGCCTGGGCTGCCGTCCCACTCGGATGGACTGGGGCCCCTTGAAGGCTACATTCCTCCATGTCACGGCAAGATCCTGCTCACCTTGCTGGGGCTCCCGGCCCCAGGGAGAGTCAGGAATGTGTGCGTCGGCTCAGCAGGTGCATTTCATTTGTAACCGTGGAAAGCTTTCACCCCAGCATTTTTTTTTAAATATATTTTATTGATTTTTTAAAGAGAGGAAGGGAGAGATATAGAGAGCTAGAAACATCGATGAGAGAGAAACATCGACCAGCTGCCTCTTGCACATTCCCTACTTAGGATGTGCCCGCAACTCAGGTACATGCCCTTGACCGGAATCAAACCCGGGACCTTTCAGTCCGCAGACCGACGCTCAAACTGGTTTTGGCTCACCCCAGCATTTTTGTTTGTGACTGTCATTTGCTCCAGGAACATTCTGGAACTTGCGGCATGACCCCTGTGCAGCACTCTCTAACACAGCATACCTTTCTGTCTGTTTGACCTTTGCCAGGTAACGTGTCCAATCTGGATCCTAAGTTCTCATTTGAAGGCACCAAACTGAACGTGGGGAACATCGTGCTGGCGTTGTACAGTGGCCTCTTTGCCTACGGGGGATGGTACGTTCCAGAATGGCTGGGTCCCTGGGCCTTGGGGGCACAGGAGCCAGCCCTGAGGTGTCCAGAAATCTGACTCTCGACCACTCCCGGGGGCAGTTTTAGAGAGTGGTAGGAGAGCCTCTCAGAGCTGCTTGAACCCGACGCATCTGGAAAAAGCCCGGAGGATAGCACAGCAGCCTGCACTTTTCTCCCGTGTCTGGCTCCTGGGAGGGTGATCCTGTAGATAAGCCTTTGCTGAGGAGAGAAGCATTTGAGCTCAAAAGGCTGGGCCTGGTGGTTCTCGGCCTCCTCCTCGCCAGGAGCACAGTGCCTGCCTACAGCTCCCCTCCGTGCGCTCCCCCCTTCACTATCCTCCCCCCCCCACACACACACACACACACTTTCCTTCCTGCTGGGTCCCTAATGGGCCCCTCTCCAGCCAGATTATACTGGGCCACAAGAATGGCTGCCATCCGTGTGGTGGGCAGGCAGGTGGTGAAGGTGCTGGGAGGCGGGTCAGAGAGAGGGCAGGGCCAATTGAGGGACAGGCCTGCAGAGGTTAGGATTTTCCTAAGGGAGCAGGATTGGGCTCTTAACCAGCTGCTCACTAGGGTGGTGGGGCTCCCCCGGGAATCTGTTCTTTTCCTTCTAGGACTCTGGGAGGAATGTATAGTAAAACTCTGCTCTCTAACTTCTAGGAATTACTTGAATCTTGTCACAGAGGAGATGATCAACCCCTACAGGTACCTGTGTGAACAGAGACTTTTTTGTTTTGTTTTCATTAAGAGAAGGAAGAAGTCGGTTCAGCCTAAGAATTCACCCGTGGGCTCAGCCCGATCTCAGATGGAAGCAGTGCAGGGCCTTCCGGGAGGGGCCCTGGGTTAGGATCAAGCTGGGCTGAGGTGGCACTGTGTGACCTTGAACAAGATTTCCCCTTAGAATAAGCAGGAGTGCCCATTTGACGGATGGGGAGCTGAGACCGGGGTCGAGTCTCACTAATCCAGGTTCACATAGCTGCCCAACCCAGGAGCCAGCTTCCAGCTGGTGACCAGTGCCAGGGACTGGTGCTGGCAACAGTCTCTCTGTCACACCTCCCCCACTCAGCGAGGCTCAGGACCAGACCTGGGTGTTAGAGAGCCGTGGGGGCTGGTTCCGCCAGGAGCTGCACGTTGATGATGTGCCCTTTTGTTCCTTCCAGAAACCTGCCCCTGGCCATCATCATCTCCCTCCCCATCGTCACCCTGGTGTACGTGCTGACGAACCTGGCCTACTTCACCACGCTGTCCACCGAGCAGATGCTGTCGTCAGAGGCCGTGGCCGTGGTAAGATGCCACCTGCCAGTGTTTGCACAGGTTGCCGGGAGACCATGACCCAGACCTGTCGCCTGTGATGTGGAGCAGACCAGGCCCCTGGGCTGCAAACCACTCTCCTGTGTGGAGGGGTTGAGCTGCGCTCTGCCAAGACAGGAAGCGGGGTGGGGGGTGATGTGAAAGGTCCAGTCCTTGTAAGTGAGGCCTGAACCCAAGCACGGGGATGAAAGGCTGGGTGGCCTTCTCCCACCCGCCGCCTATAGGCATCCTGAGCCATCTCTGCTGGGCGTTCTGGACATGGGCTCAGAGCAGGGAGAGCGGCATCCCCAGGCCTCATGCTTGTCAGCCTCCCGCACACAGTGGGGCCCTAAGTAGTATGAGCCGGCTTCTGAATGTCCTGCGGGACCCTGCAGGCTCACTTCCCATGGTGTTCTCACATGCAGTGTCAGCAGGTGAGGGTCCGCACCCACCCATTCCACCTTCTGGATACATCCTCACTGAGCCTTGCTCTGGGTCGGGTGATGGGGACCCAGCCAGAGACAAAGCCGTGTTCCCCCGCAGAGCAGACATGGACAGGGAGAAGGCCGGGCACCTTGGCAACCTGGTGTAATGCCAGGGCGAGAGGCGCCAGTGTGTGGGGATGAGGAATAGGCACCAGTGTTGTTCTAAAGAGGACTCTGTCCCTGGGACAGCCTTCACATCCAGACCCCAGGGATCACTGTGCAGGATCCTCGTGAGGAGTGTGCGGGACGCGTGCAGACAGTGGGCCGGGCTGGGCTGGGCTGTGTGCTGGGCATTGGGCCGGGCTCACTCGTGTGCGGCATCTGTCTAGGACTTCGGGAACTACCACCTGGGCGTCATGTCCTGGATCATCCCCGTCTTCGTGGGCCTGTCCTGCTTCGGCTCTGTCAACGGCTCCCTCTTCACGTCCTCCAGGTGAGCTCCCAGGACCACGCTCCCACACTCGGCTCTGTGGGAGCCGGGGCAGGACCGGAAGGGAGGCTGAGCTGGGAGCCAGTGTTGCATGCTGCTATTTATTTATTTGTTTATTTATTTATTTATTTATTTATTTATTTATTTATTTATTTAAAGAGAGAGAGAAAGAGGAACATAGGTATATTTTATTTATTTTATTTATTTATTTATTTTAATATATTTTATTGATTTTATACAGAGAAGGAGAGAGATAGTTTAGAAACATCGATGAGAGAGAGTCATCGATCAGCTGCCTCTTGCACACCCCCTACTGAGGATGTGCCCACAACCAAGGTACATGCCCTTGACCGGAATCGAACCCGGGACCTTTCAGTCCCCAAGCTGACGCTCTATCTATTGAGCCAAACTGGTTTCGGCTGCATGCTGCTTTTTAACATGAGCTTTAAAGGTTGTGTCTGTTTGTTATATTGAGTAATAGAAAAATATGTATGTAATACAGAAGTAAAGGAACCAGGGACTCTCCCCTGCCCAGAAGTGACACAACTGCTGTGTCCTTGTAGACTGGGTTCATTGCCCAGGGGGAGGGGACTGCAGGTGAGCAAGCCTCTGAGTGGGTCAGGGAGACCAAGAGGCCCCTGCCGGGGTGCTCGACGATGAGGCAGACCACCTGCTTTTCTGTCCACAGGCTGTTCTTTGTGGGGTCCAGGGAGGGCCACCTGCCCTCCGTACTCTCCATGATCCACCCGCAGCTCCTGACGCCCATGCCCTCCCTCCTGTTCACGGTAAGCTGGCAGCACCATCCGCTGCCCTCTTCCCCGGGAGGATTGCTAGTGGGTTAAAGTGCAAGATTGGGGTGTTCTTTGGGGCAGGGGTGAGGCTGCAGGTCCATCTGCCTGACACCCTCCCACCTTGGCCTGGTGTGACCGGACGGCAGACCCAGGCAGAGACTGAGATGCAGATAAGTTAGCAGAGTGTTGTTTCCTTGTGTTGTGCCTTTGGCTGCCTGCTCTACTGAACAAACAACAAAGGACACTGGTTTAAGTTTTTAATTTCAAAAATAATACACAGTAGTTTAAAAAAAAAAAAAAACTTCACACGGTCCAGCATCTGTGGAGCAGAAGCTGTTCTCCCAGGGAGCCACGGTTCACAGGCGGCTTTGCATGCTCCGTGCCTCTGGGCCTCTGAGGCACGTTAACAGACGTGCGATTTTTAGTGAGATCACATCCTGTATGCTTCCCTTCAGCTTGCCTAACATCTTATTCGTTCTCTATTGCTCTGCAACAAATCACCAAAACTTAGTGCTGAAACGGAAAGCATTCACTGTCGCTTAGTTTCCGTGAGTCAGGAACTCCGGGGCAGCTTAGCTGGGTGGCCCTGGTTCAGGGTCCTTTGTGAGGTGGTAACAAGATGGTGTTCGGGCTGCGTCCCATCTGAAGGCTCAGCCAGGGCTGGAGGAGGGGCTTCCAGGATGCCCCCACCACCACCACCACCACGTGGCTGTGAGCATGAGGCCTGGGTTCCTCAGGATGTGGGCTTGTCCACAGGGCTGCATGAGTGTCCCCACGACAAGGCAGTTGGCTGCCCCAGGAAGAGGGAGCCAAGAAGAAGAGCTGGGAGAAAGCGCCCCTGTTTCTATGACCTAGCCTCGGGGGCCACACTTGTCATTTCTGTCTCATTCTGTTTGTTAGGAGTGAGTGAGTCAGTATGTGTAGCCCAAGGAGAGAGGGCTAAGCTTCGCCTCGCGGTAGTCCCAGGACACGTTTGAAACCATGCAGAGCCTAGGCTCAGTTTTGAAACTCCTGTGGGTGCCCAGTGGTCTGGGGGTCTGGGGGGTCTCTGTGATGGATACTTAGTTGGTTCCCAGTCATTGCTTCTACAAGTAACACTGCAGTGAGTATAGGGTTTAGGCCTTTGTTCCCTTCTCCCTCTCATTGGGGCCTCTGAGAACTCATGTGTTGCTCAAACTAGGTCTTCCTTTAAAGCAAGAGTGCACGAGTGCTGTCAGCCCGTGCAGACAGGTATATCGCATCACCGGTGGCCTCCATCCTCCGGCCGTCCTGTTCCTGGCTCACGCTGCCCCCTCTCTGCTTGCAGTGCCTCATGACCCTGCTATACGCCTTCTCCAACGACATCTTCTCCGTCATCAACTTCTTCAGCTTCTTCAATTGGCTGTGTGTGGCCCTGGCCATCATCGGGATGCTGTGGCTCCGATACAAGAAGCCTGAGCTGGAGCGGCCCATCAAGGTGAGGGCCTAGCCGCTGTGGGCGGCCCAGGTCTGGTGCACACTCGAGAGCTGGAGAAACGGGGTCCAGGTGTCCCTGGCAGCCTGTGTGAGGAGCCAGCTCTGCGCAGCCTCTTGGTTCTGCCCCTCCCGGCCTGTGCCTGGGCAAACCACCATACCTCTTGGAGTTGCTGTTTTCCCTCTGACCCAGGGGTCAGGATGACTCCTGTAGAGCAGTGTTTTCCAAACTTCTTTCATGATGAGAACACCTGGTGGAGTTTTTAAAATACAGATTCCTGAATCCCAAGGAACATATAGGTAAAATTGTATACTTAACTTAGTGCTCTGTCTTAGTTAAGTATACAATTTTACCTATATGTTCCCAAAAATTCTAGTTTAGCACTTCTTAGTTGGGATTCAGGAATCTGTATTTTAACAACTCCACCAGGTGATTCTCATCATGAGAGAAGTTTGGAAACACTGCTGTAGAGGATCCTGGTGTGTGAGTCAGCCAAGGTAAACGTGGGACTGCGTACTCCAAACTCAACAAGTGTGGAGGGTAATTAACTCTGCTGATGCCTGTTTCTTGGGAACCTTTTGAGTACCTCTCAAGAGGGTGATCCAGGTTCTAAGGTTCATCAAAGTACAAAATAGAAACCCTCCCAATCCCTGTCCTCTTAGAGCTTATATTCTAATGAGGAAGAAGCAATAAATAAGAAACCTAGTAAGTGCCCAGTGAGCAGGTGATGAGCACTATGGGGCGGACAGGTGGGCAGGGTGAGGGCCTAACTGTCCGGGGGGCAACTGTCCAGGATGGCTGGGTGATCCTGAGAAGAGGGCATGTGGACAGAGATGTAGGGGCCGTATGTGTTCAAGGGGTGCTACCAAGGGTGTGAGGGGGAGACCATTTGGGGTAGGTGGGAGGTGACATCTGAGCCCGTAGGTAGGGGTGTCGAACTCAATCAGAGAAGGGGCCAAAATCTAAAATCCAGCCTAAATCGCGGGCCGAATGGTTTACTGAACAGTCATAAACTGTCATTGTGATGGAAACGCAGCGGAGTGCAGTGATGACAGCGCGGTGCGGGCCACATTGCAAGGCCTGGCAGGACGGATTTGGCCCGCGGGCCTTGTGTTTGACACATGTGCCGTAGGGTGTAGACATGGCCAAGACCAGCTCTGCCTCATTGAATGGAGGAGTTTTAGCATTAGACTGCCTGAGGGGCCAGCTGGCCTGGCCTAAGGTGAATGCACCTCTCCTCGGGGACAGCTGCCCAAGGGTGACCTTGTTTCTCAAAAACGGGGGCCAGAGAAGCCAGGCTCCGGCTGGAGAAGCCCAGTGAGCACGTGGCTGTGAGCATGTCAGGGAAGGAGAGGGAGGAACTCGTGGTGGCCACTGGGTGCCCAGTTCCTAGTGGCATTTGGCCTAGAGACACCTGTCCATGGGCCACATCCTTGTCTGCCCCACCCAGCAGTCCCACAGAGGCCAGCAGGGCCTGCTTCCACTCCTTGAAGAGGTTCATGGGTAACAGAGCAACCTTAGTGCCCTGAGCACCTTGCTCTCTACTGTAGTGGGCTCCATCCCCATGCTATCCTCGGCACATGGTGGGTTCTACCTCCATGTTATCCTGGGCACATGGTGGGTTATATCTTCATGTTACCTGTGCGTGTGGTGGGCTCCAACCCCATACTATCCTGGGCACATGACGGGTTCTCCCATGTCCCCTGTGCCTGTGGTGGGCTCTGTCCCCATGTTATCCTGGGCACATGGTGGGTTAAATCTCCATGTCCCCTGTGCCTGTGGTGGGCTCTGTCCCCGTGTTATCCTGGGCACACAGTGGGGCTTTGTCTCACTGTTAGCCTGGGCTGGGGCATGCAGTGTGGGCTAACCAGGTGGGACTCTCGCTTGCCCTTCATCGGCAGCGTGTGGGCCGATGGCCAAGTCTGTGTGTAGACAAGCCCACCCAGACGCAGAAGCAGGACATGGTCCTTGGAGCCAGTGGGCTGGGGCGGGGTCGCCTCTGTGGCTGGTCTGCCCGTGGCTGTGCCGACCGCAGCCAGCCTCCGCACAAAGGCTCTCTGAGGAGGCAGATGCCCCTCACTTATTCAGAATCCTCCCAGAAGTGCCCCCACGTTGGGTGACATTAGCGGGCGGTTGCTGGGCCAGGGTTTCTGCCCTGTGATGTGGGAACCAGCAAGGCCCACATCCCCTGACCTTGGGAAGCCTCGAGGGTTGTTTGCGATTACTGTCGGCTCCATCTGTGCTTTGGGTAATTACCGCCTGGCGCCTTGTGCTGAGGAAACGGAGAACAGGGGAGGCTTCAGGTCTCCGGAGTCTCCAGCCGGCAGGTCAGACTGGTAAATGCTGAAGAGGGAGACAGGCCCTGGGAGGTAGGAGCCGTTCTTGGACCAGGTGGGAGGAATGGGCTCTGACAGGAGGCACAGAGTGTGCTCCGGGGGGTCCCATGGGAGAATCTAAGTGAGCCTGATGGGGAAGATGACTCCATCGAGGTCAGGAGGGCGGTGGGGACGCAGCACTTTCAGCGGAGTGGACAGGACTGTGATGACAGGACTGTGATGACAGGACGTGGGAGGTGTGAGAAGGGAGCAACAGATGCCCATCGCTCTGCCTCTGTCCCCAGGTGAACCTGGCACTCCCCGTGTTCTTCATCCTGGCCTGCCTGTTCCTGATCGCCGTCTCCTTCTGGAAGACCCCCATAGAGTGTGGCATCGGCTTTGCCATAATCCTCAGCGGCCTGCCTGTCTACTTCCTCGGGGTCTGGTGGCAAAACAAGCCCAAGTGGCTCCTCCAGGGCATCTGTGAGTATCTCCTCAGTGCAGCCCGACAGCTGGGGCCGCTCTCCTCCCTGCAGGTTCGCCAGCACCCCGCCCCGCCCTACAGGCTGTCTGCTGTCTCCTAATCCCTTAGCCAGGCGTTCAGGCACTTGGCGTGTCAAGCGGTGACGTCTGGCCCACGTCTTTCAGGGATAAGACGCTCAGCTTGGCATGGCACCAGCTAATCTCAGAACAAGGGATTCCAGAAAACCAGGCCGCTTTTGCCAAGTAACGAAATCCCAGTGCTGTCGCCAGCCTAAACACAAGGCTGACCCAGAAAGGCAGAGGCGGAGAAAGCAGGATCGCTGCACCATGGTCACAGGGCCCACTAACCAGCGTGCTGAGGAGCCCGTACTGAGGCTGCTGTTAATATGGCGGCTCCTGGCACACTCACTGGTGTTTACAAGCCTGCACCCCAATCACCATGTCCCGGTGGCTCTCCAGATTCTGATCGCTACCTGCCCTGTGACTTTATAGGAAACCGCCCAATCTGAGCATGTGAAACACCGCCAGTCATTTCAGCAGGCCTTAGCCGCCAGCCCAGGCTAGACTCCCTACTAATCATCTTGCAGAACACACACCAGGCCCTAACATGGGCTCTGTGTCCTGAAATCACACCCCACAGAGTATTCATCTGGGCCCCTGGCACACACCCGCCTCTCCACTCCCTCTGTGGACTGCAGGCACGTGGCTGTCATTTGGCAGTAACGGGCATCCTTGATTCTGCTTCTGGGTGTCTGCCAGGCGGTGGCCCAGGTATGGACACTCCGGAAGGGCCCTCGGCATTGGGACTTATTTTCCCAGTGTCGCTGCCATGAGCCCAGGGTTCTGAAGCAGGGCGGTGGGCGGGGCTAGTGCTCAACCTGTTGCCAAGTCCCTTGGCCACACCTGCAAAGTCACTGGAAGAAGCAGGCGTTCCTCTGCGGCCAATCGGGAGTGACGGCTGGTGCCCACCAGGAGGGAGCCCCTTGAGCCTGATGTACATATTTTCAGATCGGGGCATTTTACATAAAGTTCTGGGTTTCTGGCTTCTCTTGCAACTTTGGGGGTCCGGTGTCATGAGGCCGGGTGACCTGCAGCTCCCGGCACTCACTGGTGCCCCTGGCCCCAGGCACATGCTAGCACGACCCCCGAGTAACTGCTCTCCTCTCTCCTGCAGTTTCCACGACAGTCCTTTGCCAGAAGCTCTTGCAAGTGGTCCCCCAGGAGTCCTAGAGAGAGGAGCCAGGAAGCTGCTGATGGAAAATACAGAAAGATCATTTTAAAACAACTCACCCACCTAAAAAGCGACCCGTTCCATCATCCAGGCAGCTCAGCTGAGCGCCCTGCACCGTCCCTCCACCAGGTCAGGTGCCAGGGCCACTGTGAAAACTGGTACGAATTTAGTCCCAGAAGACGAACTTCTATCGATACCTCCTCAAGAGTGTGATGCACGAATGTTGAACGGAGAAGAAGCTGAGGCTTCTGACTGACCCCGGACTTTTTGCCATATTGGGCCCTTGTCCTTTCCCACCTTTGTTTATTTGTAGGGTTTTTTTCCTCCTTCTTATTTTATATTATTTTTTTTTAACTTAAATTTTGGGGTCAAGTTGATAACACCAAGATGATTATTTTTTAAAGAAATGGGGGAGGGCAGGTAGGGAGACTCTTGTTCCTTATCACTGCCAGCAGTGTGATGTGCCTCAGGGACCAGGTCCTGTCGCTGGGTGTGACCCCAGCACCAACCAGCTTCAGGCGGGAGGAGTGATTCTGAGAGCCTAACACTCCAGCTGCCAATAAGCTACTGAGACTCTGCCTCAGATTTGCACTGACAGATGTGTGCTTGGCTTCCTTAGGTTTTTTTATTTTATTTTATTTTGGTTTTTTGTTAGTAAATGTAGTGACATTGGGGAAACTAACCTTGGGCTTATGTCTCTGCCTTAAAGACCTGAGTTTGATCCCTCCCTCCCTGAATCCTAAAAAGAAGAGAAAGTCTTGGTGAGACAGCCATCTTTGGAGAGCAAAGGACTTGAGAGGAGTCTGATACCAGCCCAGCTCCACACAAAGAGCCAGTTCCTGTGCCTGGTGTTTGGGTGGAGCTCCGGGGAGAGGTCATGAGCACCTGGATGACCTCAGAGGTCCCGCCAGCAGAGCAGGGCCAGTTTCTGGGCTATTCCCTCGTCACTGAGGATGCTGTGGGCTCCTGCCTTTGTGCGTCCTGTCCTACATGGCAGCCTGAGCAAAGGCACAAAGGCAGGAGGACCGGGCACCTCCGAGGAAAGGGCCTCCCGCCCTGTGCTGCACCCAGTGTGGGAGCCAGCTTTAGTTCTCTCAGACAAAGCCCCAGGCTTGAGGCCTGGAAAGAGATGTGACAGGAAGGCAGATGCCAAGACCCCTGCTGGGCTTCTCATTCAGGTCCCCAAGGCAGCCCCTCCCAGGGTCCGCAGAGTTGGCCTCCATGGCTGGATGGCAGTCCCAAGGGGCTGTCTGGGACTTGCTTCCATCTCCTGGCCGGGGTGCCATCATCCCCTCCTGCCACCGACATGGCCTGTTCCAGACTCGATTCCAGTCAGCAGGGACACCAAGCCTTCCTCAGTGCCCCAACTCTGCACCTGCTCTTGAGGCTGCCCTCCTCTCCAGAGAGGCTGCTAGAAGGCCTGTCCTTGTGACTCCAGTGGTTCCCCGAGGGAGGCAGCTGAGGCTGGCTCTCCTGGGCTGTCACCCTGCCTGGGAAGCACCATCAGCTAAGGTCAAGTCCTCTAGACCCCATTGTAGGTGCTGGGGTTCTGCCTTGGTCTCTGACCCCTCACCTTCTCCCAGAGGGAGGTTGAACTGAGCCCTCAGGCATCAGGCCTCATTGCTCAGCTTCGAATGGCCCATCCAGCCTGCTGCCACCCACCTGGGCTCCAGGGGGCACTTGGGGTGCTGTGAGGGTAGATGTGGCCTTGCAGGATATGGGAAACCAAGATGGTGCTGTCCAGACCAGGTGGCCTCCCTACAGTGATCTGCTTCAGCAGCCTGCAAACGGGTGGGAACCCCCAGTGTGTCATGGGCAATTGAGGCAAGTCACCCCTGCAGGGGTAGACTGGGGCTGCAGGGTTCCCTTTCCACATGGAGGTGAGGGCTAGAGGGGGCAATGAGAGGTCAAAGGCAGTTCTAAAGTGTGGCTCTCCCCAGCGTCTGGGCTGGGACCTCTGCTGAGGGTGGCTTGGGGCCTCTTCTGTGATTCCTGGCCTGTGTCGCCCAGGGACGCATCTGGGGAGGCGGGGACGTCAGGGCTGCATCCAGAGGTGCTGCAGGCACCCCGGGTCCTGCCGCGTTGGCATCTGGGGAGGCAGAGACTCCGCTCTTTCTGACCACTCTACTGACACGTGTCCCGAGCGTTCACATTTGTGAGAGTTGATTTTTTTTTTTTTTAACCAAACCCTGGCGTAACCAGCTTCATTTGTGCAGGTGTTCTGCTGTTCGTCCTAAGGTCTCGTTAACGTAAGGCTGCTATCGGCGCCATGTTTATTTATTTGCAGTCCAGTTCAGCCTGGCTTCTCCGGCATGTTGTCGCTGTCTCTGTATCCCTGTGGGTGTCCCCGCCATGGCAGTGCTGTCATTGGCCTGGCGGCGGCGGAAGACCTCCTCCTTGTAATGACGTGCGCGGCTTCAGTGTCTTTCTCTTCCCGTGTTAATGGCTAACTTGTAACACTTGGCTGGTTGGGGTAGGGAGTTCTGTTTTTCCTATGGGGTGGGACATTTGTTTGTTTTTAAAGAAAAAATGATCAGAATTATAATTACTGCTGGTGGCCTTCGTGTTCTTTCCTTCAGCTCCGAATATTGGGAGTAGGAATGTGCCCGGGGGTGACTCCCCAGGAGAGGGTTGATCTATCTCACACACTGACACACCCTCCTGGAGGCCGAACAAGGTGGCCAGAGCCCCTGATAGCATGCTCCCTGGTGACAACTGAGAGGGAGGCGCACAGGGATTATGTGATCTACCTCTTAGAAGGGACATGGAAGTCGAGGCCAAGCCCCGAGGTGGGAAGAGCTTGGCCACTGGCACACAGGTGACTGGTTGCTGCCAAGACCAGTCCCAGGAGGCCAGGGAGGAGACATGCCAGCTTGGGCTGGAGGAAGGGGCAAGCACATTTCCTCATTTCCAGGACTTCCTTGAATATCTGGTTTCAAGCTGCACTAGGCTGAGTGCCACACCAGCTCTCCCATGGACAGCTCTCACTTCATTCAAACAAACTCCATTCCGAATGTTGGTGTTTGACCAGGACCTGAGGACAGGCGGGACCTGGGTGTGGGAAGGGTGTCGAGGTAGCACAGCGAGGATGAGTGGACTGACCGCAGAAATTGTCACATGAACTCAGGCCAGGGGCTCCAGCACATGAAGGCTGGACCTGGAGGTCTTGGGTACCCACAGAGGGGGCTTCTACTCCCAGGCATTGGAGCCACCAGATGAGCTTGGGCGGAAAGTACCACCTAGAGCAGGGGTGGAAAACGTCCGGCCCACGGGCCATTACAGCCTGTGAAATCATCTGGTCTGACCCTGCTAAGGCATTGGGGGTGAGTTACTTAAATGTTTGACCAAAGGTAGCAGGCTGACTTAAGTTGGTAATTTTGTATGGCCCCAAAGTGATATATCCAAATGGGCCCTGGCTTTTGCTCAGTGATTAGAGCATCAACCCACAAACTGAAGGTCTCGGGTTCCATTCTGGTCAAGGGCACATGCTTCTCAGTTCTGGTCAGGGGGCGTGTGGGAGGCAACCAATGGATGTATCTCACATCGAGGTTTGTCTGCTCCTCCCACTCTAAAAATCAAGGGGAAAATGTCCTCAGGTGAGGACTGACCATGTCTGTGTGTGTTTTATCTCCAAATGGTCCTCCTTGGCAGAAAAAAAGGCTCCCACCCCTGACCTAGAGCCACCCAGGAGGTGCAGAGAGGCCTTGAGGGCCAAGTACCAGTGCTGCCACCGCTTGTGAGAATGCCATGGTGCACAGGTCCCACCCTGCATGCTGAACCCCAAAGCCAGGCAGGCCCCCAAGTGAGCTCATGAAGGGATTCTTCCCCTCCTTGCAGAGAAGTGGAGCTAACAGGTGGGAGATGGGATTACATGTGGGGAGGGGACTACCTGTGCAGGCCTGACCTAAGCTTGCCTGTGTTGGTTGCACCCACGCCCTGTGGGTCACGTGCCCACAATAGTTCACACTCCTGCCCAGGCTACCTAAGCATCCATGTTCTGCTGGAACTCCAGGAAGCCTGGCTGAACAAAAACTTCAGGGCAGCTCTGTATGATGCTCAGGCCACAATGCACTGAGAAGTGTATTGAAATCCTACTTCCGTTGGCATGGAAGTATTTGGAAAACATAATGAAAGGTGTGAAAGAGTCGAAACCCTTTTGGCTCAGTGGACAGAGCGTTGGCCTGCGGACTGAAAGGTCCCGAGTTCGATTCTGGTCAAGGGCATGTAGCTTGGTTGCGGGCACATCCTCAGTGGGTGGGGGTGCAAGAGGCAACTGATCAATGATTCTCTCTCATCGATGTTTCTAACTCTCTATCCCTCTCTTCCTCTCTGTAAGAAATCAATAAAATATATTTTTTAAAAAGAAAGAAAGGTGTGAAAGATTACGAACCTCATCGCGACCATTCTACAGACCTGGCTGGACCCAGCAGCCGGCCCTTCCCCCAGCTCAAGCCGAGCTCTCCCTCCACTGCTGCTGCTGAAAAGGGTCTGGACACTTGAAAGGACAGTTCTCAGACCAACCTGAACAAACCACCCGACACGTGTGGTCAGAGCAGAGCGGTCCCAGCTCTTCCTTTGAGGGAGGGTAGAGAGAGAAGTTGGGTCAGCGAAAGCTTGAGATGGGAGAGGAAGGGATTAGGGAAGGGGGGGCAAAATGTCCACAGGGCACATTCAAACAGCAGCCTGCAATACTCGGCCACTGTGAGTGGAGAGGGATGTGTGTTCGGAGGCGAAAGGGGAAGAAAGAGGCAAGCCTGGAATGCTGGCTGCAACGGGACAAGACTTCTTGTGGTCCCCAAATTCTTAGAAAGTTCTGCCGGGCTCACCAAGTTTGCCACGTATGCGTGTGGAACTGGTGAAGGGGCATTGGTAGGGTCAATCCATCAACAATGAGGCAGGGACATCTGACATTTGCAAAACCACTCTTGCCCTCAGCATTAGCCAGAAGCACCATGAGAATGGGATTGGCCAGGCCATGGGAATAGGAGTAATGACTCAACCAGGAGGGAGCTCGGGAACCTGGGATGTCCCGGGTCTCGGGGAGGAATCCATGCTTCCACCTAGAGAGCTCCCCTGGCCATGCCCCTCCCTCCGCGTGGGCCCTTCCAGCATCCTAAACATAAGACACTCTCCAGTCTCTGAGTTCACGTCCTTGTCGCTCTCTGCACAACCTCCGGGGATGGACAGTGCGAGCCCAGGTCATCATCGGTCCCCAGTGGAAGCCGCAGGTCCTCACCCCAAGAGCTGCTGTTCGCACGCAGGGGGCTGCCCGAGGCCCGTGGCGTCTCAGCCCGAGCACCTTCAGTCTCCTGCCAGGAACCTTAGTCCCCCTGAGCACGCCCACACCAGACAGGCTGTGTGCTTCCCCGCTCCCCTGGGTCCACTTGCAGCAAGACTCAGTTCCCTCTCTCAGAGCCAAGGGCTGACATAATCCTTCCTGCAAGTAGGAACGCAGCTGTGTGATTAAAGTTAAATGCCTAAATCACATAAAAACCCCAGGTGAACAGTCCATCCGCCGAACGGGTATCAACTAGTTTCATTGGGTCAGAGGGGGCACAGAAAGTTCCAGAAGTTTTTGCTCCCTCACTGATCTCTATGGAGGCTGCCGTGGAATGACACGTGACACACACCCCACCCCCCCCATTAAGGGCTCTTACCCCTCCAAGTGGGGCTCTAGGACCCAAAGTCAGAGCATGGGTCCTATCTGCTCACCTCATGGTCCCAACCCTCCCCAGCTCTGACAGGCGGAGGTGGCGCCATGCTCGATGGAACCCTGAACCTCTCAGAGGCCTCTATGCCTTTGAAGCTCCTGCCCGCCTGGAGGTTGATAAAGGCACGTGGGAGACGCAGGCTGGACCGGTCTACCTGCCCAGGTTGCAGCGGGCAGCTCTTCACCTTGGGTGTTTGCACAACCCACAAACCTGATTTCTCTAGTTCACATGTGTCAAACACAAGGCCCGCGGGCCAAATCCGTCCCGCCAGGCCTTGCAATGTGGCCCGCACCGCGCTGTCATCACTGCACTCCGCTGCGTTTCCATCACAATGACAGTTTATGACTGTTCAGTAAACCATTCGGCCCGCGATTTAGGCTGGATTTTAGATTTTGGCCCCTTCTCTGATTGAGTTCGACACCCCTACTCTAGTTAGTGAGCGTTTTTCCTAATGTGTCCAAAGGGCCCTACTCTGGCCCTAACAGGTTTGGCTCAGTGGATAGAGCGTTGGCCTGCGGACTGAAGGGGCCCAGGTTTGATTACGGTCAAGAGCATGTACCTTGATTTCAGGCACATCCCCAGTGGGGAGTGTGCAGGAGGCAGCTGATAGATGTTTCTCTCTCATCAATGTTTCTAAATCTCTATCCCTCTCCTTTCCTCTCTGTAAAAAATCAATAAAGCATATTTTAAAAAAGGGGAAGAGCCACTCTGTCCTTCTGGGTGTCCCTGAACATGACAGCTGTCCCACCCACTCCTCTAGTTGCAGTAACATTTCTCCTGGGACAGCCCTGCCTCCCTCTCAAAGAGCCACGGAGAGGAGGCCTGGAGTTGCCACTTGTTCCCTTGAAGCTGCTCCTGTTTTATTTTTGGTCTTGGCTTAGTCCCTTGAGTTAGGCTGCGAATTCCACAGGGAGGGAATGGTCAAATATAAACCAAATCTGGACGGAGCAGGAGAAATTTATTGGAAAGGATTATTGCAGAGGGGATGGCCACCGATGGGAGAAGCATGCTCTGACATGAGATATGCAAGATGTGCAGCTCTCAGGCTAGCCAAGGTCTCTCTTCTGTGGGCAACGAACGGGGCGGGGGGGGGGGGGTGTGTGTGTAGAGGTTTCTCCCAGGCCAGCCTGTTCCCAGAGGGGCTCTCTGCTGGCTCAGACTGAGGGGGCCAAGGTCACGGGTATGGGGAGGAAAGAAGCCACACCAGATCAGTGTGGTGAGCTCATCACTGCGGAGGCACAGAGGGAAGGTGAGTGTCCTGCAGTGGTAGAAGGAGGGGCTTCTCTGCAGTGAACTTGACCCAGAACATGAGGGAAGGGCTCTCTGCCTGCAGTGATGTCCAGGATGGCAGGGTGCGGTGAAGTCCAACACCATCTAATGAGTGCGGGTTGTTTGTCCCTGGGCACGCTGCCCCCACCCCAGCCACCTGCAATCTCTCCACTGACGAACAGCTTTCATCGGGCCCGTAGATGCGGAGAGGCTGGCCTCTGTCCCTGAGGACCTCCTGCTGAGCCCAGACCCTGTAGTTAGAGGAGCTGAGTAGGGATCCTGAGCACCTGGGGCCGGGAAAACATGTTTACCTTGTAACCTTCTGTTCCCTCTGAATTTAAATCAGATGGGTGATTCACGTGTTCGGAAAAAACATGCTTTTGTAAAATTGGCTTTAGATTATCAGCAGGCTCTCTGGGATGCTGGCGCTGGCCTGAAATTGGATCTAGGCAGGTGGAAAGTCATGGCGCTGTGCACGTGAGACTTACGCACTCTTCTACGTGGGTGTTTGAAAGCATGCACTGGATGTTTGGCTGCCTGGCCTTTGTCCTGCTCTTGCTGTGTT